AACAACTTCGTCAGTAAACCTTCGTACCAAAATCGGTTGACATCTTTTGAGCTGTTCAGTAGAATCAGATTAGTTTCTCCCTGGTTTCCAAGTGCAGTCCACCAGGAAAGTAAGATGAGGGTCTCCTTGGAACCGCTCGATTGGCTTTTCTTATTCCCTTTCTGTGAGGTTTTCTAGAACATTTTTACTGTGACAGTAATAGTAATGAATTCCCAAATAATTCGTTGTTTCTTTTCGGACTATAGCGTTGGCGCGCGTATCATGGCCGAATCAGTTCCCACTGGAAACGGTGACAAAAAATTGCAAGAGTACGTAAAAAAAATTCTTAAATTTTTCGGTTTAATCTCGTCTATTTTGTTTCGGAACAGTAATTGTTCTCGCATCGGCTGGGCTGCCGTCTGTCGGCACTTGTTTCGTAGAACATTTATACCTCGACGGTCTGCCTGCGTACACGAAATTCTCATTCCAAAAGCCCACACTATATGCAGTTGATCAGGTTCACAGATCGATCTCTCCCTCCATGTTTCATGATCTAAACCTAATCTAACCCAACGGCCCCGAGATAACCCTGATTGTGAATTTTTCAAGGATGTGATTCACGTTTTAACAAATATCAACTATGAACTGAATACAAACCACTTCGCCGAAACTACTTGCGCGTTTATGCACATAACAGACTGAATCTGGTAGACTTACATATCAATAAATGGAGAAGTTATACACAGAATGCCCTGAAATTACCGAAGAAGCAAATATTCGGTAACATATTCGTGAAGGACGAAAATCTCGCTGTTTGAAATACGACCTTTGTACCGAACACAATTTAACCCATACGAAAAGACCACATCTTAAATGGTGATACTCAACTAGCTCCATGAAGCTGAATATCTGATTATGCCTGAAAAGCTGAATGGTCGAAACAGACGTAAACAGTCCCCAGGTTGAGTTTGATTGCAGTTAATCTTCAAATTGGTAGAGCGATGGAAAAACAATCTATCTCCGTAGATGGGGCTATGCTAATCTTACTCAGCTTTGAGGTTTGTTGTCAACACAACATATGAGCACTTGTCGGTTGGACCTGACCGCTGGTCAAGTTAGTCTTCAATATAACATCTCCATTATATATATATATATATATATATATATATATATATATGATAATAATTAGTACGTGAATGACGAAATTTATATGTATATATATATATATATAATACATTCAGTCAACCATGTTCACTTGGTTATTGATGTACCTTCTATTTACCCCAACCGACAGCAATCCAGTATTCTCGTTATCCGAATTGCTGGAAGCAGTGGCCAAGTATTATGGGAAGCGTATCTTCGTCTACTTCATCGGCACTCTCGCGCCAGATGGATCGCAGTGGTGCCCAGATTGTCGAGCAGGTAAGCCAGATTCCCTCGTCATGTATTGATGTTCGTGCACGTGCGATGCAAACAAAATGTGGTTCGTTTGCTTTATCCCCATTGCTTGAATAACCGCTCTCGGAACACGCGGTAACGCCGCTAATGTTCTATTTTTGTCGATTTTAACTGACCATCCGTCAGATTTCAGTGTAACGGCATCCATTCGCCCACCCCATCAACCGTAAAACGGCAAGCCCTGAATTCAAATTTACCTTTTACTAGATCTCAGGATTTGAACTTCAAACCCCTCACAGTGTGTTGTCACTGTGCCAACTGGCCGATGCCAGGAATGAGTAGAATTACCCATTCGCGTTTGTTCAGATATCCTGTTTAATAACGGACAGTCTGTTGGTGAACCAGCAGATCCGAATGAATTCGTCGTACGGTTCATTCCAGTATGGTCGGAGGTGGGTGTCTTGGGTTGCGGCTGGTTACCCTGTCCTTGTAAGTGTGAAATATAATATACATATATAATGCTCGACCAATATCGTTGTTTCCACTGAAATGCGATCACCCAATACTGGCAAGTTAATCCAGTTGTTCGCTTCCTGTCTCTAATGGGCAGTTTACTCTATAGACACGACCTTCCAATGGTCTGTGTAAAACCACTAGACGAAATGCACACGTTCTCGTGCGAATCTTCCGTTACTTGTGTGTTTGTCTTCCGCAGGATGTGGCTATTCGCAAGAAACTTCCCATATTTGTATCGTCAAACTTATTATGATTATTACATGCAAACAAGCAGCACAACTATGGTCGTTGTGAAGATCGTATTGCCTGGCCTCAAAGACTAGTCAGTTTTTTCACATCTGTTTTCTAATCAAAAGACGACTTTTATTTTTTGCAAGATTACCAAGTTATGGGACTGGAATGTTAATTCGCATTAATATGGGTTATTTTTTTCTCCTGACCTCAACGGATTTATATATTCGTCAAGTAATAATGATGCATGCTAAGTTCTGGGAAATATCCAACGAGTAGCGATATTTCTGCTAAACTGTTCACAACACGTGCAGTGATTGAATTAGCCCCTTTCGACTACCTTGATAATCACTCACGAATACATTTTCGCCCATCCTGATTCATTCCACGGAAGTGGAATGAATGAATGCCCATCGACTTCCTTTCCGTGCTCTCTTTGCACGTGCCGGGCAAGGCTGGAAGAAGCGGCGCGGCGGTCAGACCATGACATGGGCTAGAGGCATGAAGAAGCTGGCCTCAGCTTTGGCTTCGGTTGGTGCAGCCCGCCTTCCAGGTTGGGGCCCAAGGGATGAGGATTGTCTATGGTTAGAGACGCTGAGAGATATGGCGCAGAATAGAAGTCAGTGGCGCGAATGCTGTACGATCTGTCTATCGAAATCCCGTGCCCATTAAGAAAAACGAAACATCAAACAACAAAAAAATTGCAAAGGTGTACGGTGAAACACACAAAAAAATTCTGTTATCTTGTATTTTCCATGTCTGTCTCACCCACTTTTCACCATGTTCTGTATCCTAATCCACCTATCCCCTTCACTGTCATTGTTGTTGCGTTGGCACCATGCTTGTTTTCAAGCCGGTGGTTATATACATATATATTCCACTTCCGTCTGATTGCCGTGACAATCAGGCTGTGTCAGAGTAACAGAGTTGATTGTGCATACAAAGAACTAGCGCACACTAGATAGAGAACGAACTCAATCGAGACATTTGGTTCCTATTTTCCAACCGAACCAGTGCAATCTTTTGTAGCCGCACGCACTTTCCTATTCAAAACTAAGAGTTCTGGTCTGGTCGTGTTCTGATACATGAATGTTTCTGTTTCGTCTGTGCCGCTAGTGCGTTTTCTCAATTTCTTTCTCCTACTGTTCATTCAAATGGGCAGCCAAAACCAGCGCATGGTAAATGATTGTTCAAACTGAACCAGACTGTTTCATCTGTGAATACATGGGTACTACTGCAAACCGCTCCACCGACCATTATGTATCACCGAACTGTTTTCGTGTAACTGCCCGCTCGAAAACTCAGCGAACATTGACCGTATTCTTTTACTTATTAAAATCAGGTCTATACTTATAGTGACATTTAACTGATCAATCTCTAAATGGAACATTCTCAAATGACTTTGTTCGCGTGACGTGTGTAGAAAAACAAACGATCATTTCAAAGCGCTTACTGTACGACAAAGTGCTGGTGAACCTCAGTGGAGTCCAAAGGTTGCACACGGTTCGGGTTTATCTCTCCTTGTGAAGAGTGCGAAGATATGGCAAATGATGTAATCGCAATCCGAACAAAACCAATCTGGTAGCGACCGAAAACAAACACTCGAGACACAGACAAGTATAATTCAGTTTCATACGTTAACTGTGAATTTTATGCCAGCAATGCCATCAGTCTGTCGTTGCACACAAAAATTCGTTTTCGTTCAGCATTGCCACCACATCAATCTTTAGAGCCAAATAGCAAAGCATGTGCGGTTGCGTCATCATCATCTAAGCCGCCACAAAACTTGGTGGGTGTTTATGACCGACGGTTCCGAACAAGGATGAAGCAGTTATCATGCTCCTCATTTGCTTGACTGATGCGATGGTATTACATAATGAACCGTTTTGCCGAATTTCGTCCGCAACATCCTCACAAGAATTTCAGTAAGTTTTGCACAAATGTGTTCTTTTTCTAAAATGAACATGCTTTGTCATCTGAAAAGATCCAACCATAAGTGCAAATATGCCGACATCTTTTTCAGCCCAACCGATCGTCGAATCCGCTCTCAGCGAGGTTCCTCCAAATGGGGTCTTCCTCACTGTCCAAGTTGGTGACCGTCCCACGTAAGTATGAAACCATGACGGGCGCCTAATCTTTCATGACACTTAACGTTGTGCAGATGGAAAGACCCAGAAAATCCATTTAGACACAACAAGGCTTGTGCAGTCTCAAGTATTCCTACTCTTATCGAGTTTGGCACAGTAAGCAAAAGCATTTACTTAACTCGCTTTCCTTTCTTTCCTCAAGAACAAACGTCTTTCTGATCCGGAAATCCTAGATCGATCGCTAATCGTGAAGTTATATAAGAACGAGGCATGAATCCTAGGAGCAATGTTCTTCATATGCGATAATAATAATGCTTGATATATTTTTGATTAAGACAATCGACCTTATTTGGTATTTTTGTTTGTTATGTGTTAATTTGCTTATTCGCAATAAACGAATTAGAATTGTGATCATTTTTATGTTGTTCCTTACTGGCGTTCCAAATGAACCACTAGTGAATGCGTGGAAGCCTGACGTTACTTATTTTTGACCAACACAACCGGGAATTCAAAACACAGGCGCTGTCCTGCAACGGACTGTAAAAGCATGTACATTTTCAGCTACCACTTGATCCCAGAAAAGAAAAACGACTGAAGAAATCCTGCATCGTAAACAGACTTCTATACACACTTCAAATAACTTCTGAGGACCAAGTGTGGAAAACATCAAAGAGTGCAGCGTTCTCAATTCTCACGCAAAACAATCACCAAACGTGAATGAGGTTCGCGAAAGTTTCCTTTATTTACATTGAAGAAGACACTGATGCCGTTGTGACATGCGCGGAAGGATCAACGTCCACGAGGCCTGGGAGGAAAACGTGCTGGCGGATATCCGGGACCCATTGGATGCATTGGTTGTTGAAAAGAAGGCCTACCAAAAGGGGGTGCGTTGAATGCCATCGGACCGGGACGAAAACCCGATGCTCCTGGGGGCCCTGATGATCCGGCCCAGGAAGCTGTGCGGATAGCAGGCCCGGGACCACATGGTATGCGGGGTGGGTACGCCGGGCGTAACTCAACAGGCTGGTGCCCCATTTGATTCATATTGGGTCGTATTTGTTGAGGCATACCGAAATTAGCTTGGTACGGGGCTCGTGGATGCATAGGGCCCATTGATGCAACTGCCGATCGTTCCGTCATGCGAGGCCCGAAGCTACAAGAAGTAGGTTGAGTGATGTGGCTGTTGCTACGTACAGGACCGGATGTAGGATAAGGTGCGTGGGTACGGGAAGGAAATGGACCGGGTTGTGGACCCATCGACATCGAAGGTGTTGGCCACATGCCTGAGGAAAAATTCGAAAACAATATTGTTCAAGGTTAGTGAAACAAAGGGAATCACTAATTAACATCAAATAAGCCCAACAATGGGGCTTGGAAACCGATCCATCTGCGAATACATCTATTGAACTGGTGATTTTGGAAGTAGCTAATATACAACAACTGCACTGGTTGATTGTTAAGGCTTGGTCAACAACAGCGGGTTTATACCACCGCATTGTCTTCGGGGGTGGGTATAAAACTAGGACGGCGGTGTTATCGTTTCCGGTCACGTGATGGTGCTCACAAGCTAGTTCACGCTTGATCTCAATATCTAGCCCAGTTAGACTCTTGACGGATCTTATGTGTCCGGACTGATTTGTCGAGCTCCTCTTATTGAAACTGTGAAGGTCGGGCAAAACAGTCGTTGACCTATGAGGACTAAGCTGGTTTGCCTGCACTGGCGGAGATTAAAGATTAACACTGCTTTGTTTCCGTCTCATCAAACATCTTCAAATGCACATACCCAAGGAGAATCGATGATTAGATAATTGAGCGTTTCGAAAACCCTTAGATCCCGTGCATACGTATCGCGCGATTGTCTTCAGCTCAGATATTGTTTTTGTTTCCGGGTGCCATCACTTTCACATGCAAGCAAACCATAATTAGTAACAGTGCCGCAATATATTCTATGAAAGGATTTCAAAAAAGACCATAGCATATTGAACCGGTAATCCATGACGAGAGAACTTCTTGTGACTGATTATCAAGTGCGACTACTGCAATGCGCTAACCCGGTCTTGTTCGAGAAGTTATTTTCTGTTTGTGATGCAATTCACCATTATGGGTTTCCTTCAGGAGTACATGTTGGTTCCATGAACGTTATCGAAGTGGGTTGACAGGAATACAATACGAGGTGGTGTTCAGTTCAGTTCCAACCAACCATTAACCATGCACTTTCGTGCGCCGGTTTTGGTTTCCCATTTGGATAAAACAACAGATTCAGGCGGAAGATAGCGCATAGACAAGTTACAAAAGTAGTGAGTAGATACATGAGCGCCACTGTTTGCGACACCCAGCCATATCAGTGTCTCTAACCCTCGAAGTCCCCGCGCGGTGGTGTCCTCAACAGCGAATCAGACTGTCCAACTCGCAGTCTGAAGTAGGAGTTAAGCTAACGGTAGCGCATCCCGTTTTTGTGTCCGAGGATTAATATTTATTTAGCCTTTGCTCTTCCAAGCGCAGCCTTCCACGGAGCAAGTTTGTTGTAAGTGGGTTGGTGGCTTACTGTGTGGTTCGTTCATTTTTTCTGAGGTATTATGTCGAGTGGATGGAACACGATAGAAATGGAGATCCTTTTCAGTGACGGACCGCGATCTGTAATTCCAACGCGGTTGACCGATTTGGGCAGCATTTTATTGTGAAAATCGCGATGCGTCCTCGAACAATACCACTGATCCTCCATGTTCGAATACTTAATGAGCCGGGGCTCACGTCGTTCAAGATCAACCTACATATTTATTCTACGCAATTCAGTTTCAGTTTGAACAACCATTAACCATACACTTTTGTGCACCGGTTTTGGCTGCCCATTTGGATGAACAGCTGGAGAAAGATAAAAGTTGAAAGTAAAGTCGAAGAGAAAATGGGGAACTTCAGTGGACCAAGGCTGCAGGGAAATTGACAAGATGCACGAATGCCACTGTTTACGACACTCAACCATATCACTCAGTGTCTCTAACCATCGGTTACGATCATCCCGAGGTCCCTAGCCAGGGATCCTAACGCGACCCATGTGACCTAGTCTCCTGGTTAGGGTGTTCATACCCTCGTGCCAGGTCTTAGCTTGATCACCATTGGCTTTATTCCACTCACTACCTACCTCCGCAAACATCGCTCGTTGTGACAACCTATTTGGTGAATTCTACCAGATACTTTCAAATGTAATGAAAAATTGACGGGCGACCTCCGTTCTCAAGTTGGAAACGCAACCGTAGTTTTGTTCACGCTGTTTGTACATTTTCATATCGGTGAAAAGGTATAAAATACCCCTACCCCTAGGGTATTTCTGAAGAGTGACCAACAACCCGAAGAAAGCACAACGGTTAGTTATGATTGATTTTGCCATTGAAACACTTGAAGAAAGAATATGGTCGTTCGCTTACAAGGCAATAGCAAACGCCACGCAATCCTGCGCTAATGGTAGATCGTAGGCAATTGTCTAAGTTAGCATTTGAACAAGTTTGTGTGGGACACAGTGGGTCATTAGAGTTCACTGACAGCGTCAGCAGACATTCAGGAATTTCGCGTATGTTATGGGCTTGGATTTTTCAGACAACCTGCAGTGGTGGCAGTCGTCAATACTTCTAATTTCTTTTTTGGAGAAGACTGATTAAATACATCCACACCACGATCGATGAGTTTGCCGGCATCCAATTGTGTTTGACTGGGTCAATGAGGAAGACATTTCAAACCGTCAAACATTAATTTGCAAAAATAGGGTTTTTCGCATCCTAATTCCGTAGTAGAAGAAAGCAAGTCCATGTAATCATGGTCAAAAGGGCCGGGATGGAAATCTCAAATGCAAAATAGACGTTGAGACGGCCTCAGAAATTAAAAACAACAATGAAATAATGGAGGGGTGCGAATAGGCTCCGGTGATGAGTACAGGTAAAACTGAGAAGTTGTTTAGAAAATTTGCCACAGGATCGCGCGTGAACAACCATGAAGATAAAAGGAATAATTGATCCCGTTCTGATAAAACAAATTACCACTGAGAATTTTTTACCTCCAATGAGATGAGTACTAGTAATTTAACAGGATTTGACTCACATTAACTTGCGAGTAAAGTGATACTGAGTTGAACCGACCACTCTTCGAACTTCGTGTTTACACACAACACTCACTCAACTATCCAATTGGAATGCACTGAGAATTGTAGATCGGACATAAAACGTAAACTACAGAAAAGGGACTATCATATGTATAACAACCACCACCGAGGGAGCGTTCAAAACGTTCACGTGAATGACACAACAGATCATAGTCTGAAGGAATGAGATACTTATCAGGATTCGCGAGGTTTGGAAGGATCAGGAACACTCTATTGAATCGTTAATTTACCACAAATCCATTGTAGATTTTGGGGCCTCGCCAATATCTGAATCTGGGGGCATTTAACGTGAGAACTGTCATCCACGTGGGTCAATGGATGTCTTGCGCATACAATGACTCTTTGGGGAATTGGTATCTCCNAGGACCCCAGCACAATAAGCCACTTAAGTTTGCCGGACTTGTCTCCGAGGTACTTCCTCTGGACCTCAAGCACGTTCAGCAGGTCAGGGTGGAGTAGGTATTGCACTCAACAATAGAACCGAAGCCTCGTCAACATTCGTTTCTGTACGATGCGGCTTCCGGGGTCAATCAGTGTCCGGAAGAGAAGCAACACCAAAAGGTCTCTTCATCCACTCAGCATATGCACCGATCAACTGTAGTTCAAACGCACAAAAAGACGAATTCTACGACAATCTCAGTTGAATGAGCTGATGTTTATGTAGTTGATTTCAAGGAACAGGTTGGAAAACCGAGTGCACCAGAAGTTTGTCTGGGCGGTCTTTGTGCTCTGCCTTAGCAGTGAACAGCCTCAGTATGGTCGGGGGTACGTGTCTGAGGTTGTGACTGGTCACCTTTGCCTTGCACCTCGCGAAATGATCCCCGATGACTAAGCGTCTTAAATAGCCTTTTCTAAGGAAGCCCTACTCACTGCCTTCTCGTGGCGGTGTTTTCCCACCAAAGTGAGAGGACAAAATCCGACATCGGGGGCTATACCCGGGTTGTTGGACTACTGATAGTTAACCTAGGGCAGTTGGTCAAAAACCCTGATTCCAAACCAACCAAGAGGAGGCGCAAGAACACCACACCTTCCCGGTTGTGGTCACCGGGTCGACTGAGCACCTTTGACCCCGCCCGAAGAGCGTATGAACCGATTAACTGGACACCGATTCTCAATGGATTACGGTTTCCACACTGCCCCGGTGCCTTGCGCGTCAAGCTTGGGCCTACCGAAGGCTCCGGTTGTGAATCCCTCAAGAAAATTCACCAGCGTCAGCCTGGTCGTATTCCACCCACATGCAAACCATGGAACGTCTTCCTTTTTTCACAAAGATTATTGCACTGTGATTTGTTTGGCACAGCCCGGATTCAGACGAGTGTGAAAATATAATAATAATGTCGCAGCGAACAGTCAACGGTAACCGATCTCTTCAGTTCTACTCAGATCACCGTCTGTCTCTGTTTAGTGTCAGCTTTCGGCACAGCTCTCAATAGAGGGTAAGGTGACACTGCAATTTAACGGATGAGCTGGCACAAATAAGCCACATGGAAGTAAGCAACCGCATGTATGACTCGGTATAAAACTACAGGTCCTATTGGACTACCTACGTTGAGTTTGATCGTACATTTTTTCCATGCAATTCGCGCCCCAAACCACTGATCTCCGAAAAGCTGAGCAAACTCGGTTAGCTGTTCATTCTTTGTCTGATAGAGGCGTTCGTGCCCGCTAAGAATCGGATCTATGGCATGAGCTAAAGCACTGCAGCGTGCTGATGCAGATGGACAACTGGGTCAGACCAGACGAACAATGCACGAATGGTGCTTGTCGATCAAAGTCTGAAGTTTGTCCGAGGCATTGGATATTTGATGAGTCAGTAGTCCTGATGGAGAGAAAACGACAAGCTACGACCGGCCAGAACTGAAACACGAGTGGGGGACGTCTACAACGTCAGCTCATGATGAGCTTCAAGACCGAAAACAGATGAGTAAAAATAGACAGTGAAACGGAATTAACCACTGCATCAGGGAGTAGTTAAAGACAGTTTCATCTGCCATTACAGTGGACAAACAATTCACAAAAAGGAATTGCAGCTAGATGGGGTGGATTATCCCAACGAATAGTTTAGCTGGCCTGAAGCTAGTCAGATTATATCGCATGATGAAGCTGAAGCTCCTTCGACAGTGTCATGTGCGCATCCGACAAGCAGAATTAAGGTCTGGCACTCAAGCTCCGAGAAGAAGAAAAACGGTACAATCTGATGGGTTTTCTCTCATTACCTTCAGGATGAGGGTGATGACCTCAGAGACCCCATTAATGACTTACTGCATAACATCTGGTCGTTAGAGCGCATGCTATCATCTACTGACCAATTACCTATTGTCCTAATTTTGAAGAAGGGATCTCGCAATGACTGCACAAACCAACGCGGTATCAATTTGATCTCATACATCACGAAAGTATGGGCCTCCATCGATGACCTTGAGTAAGACGAACGACAGGGATTCCGACCACGTCGTGGATGTATTGATCTTTTACGTTGCGCCAAGCCTTTGAGTTACGCCGTACACATCGTCGACCAACGATCGCAGTATTCTTTCAGCAAAGAGCTGCGTTTCACTCTATTGCTCGTGAAGCCCTAATGGGTTTTCTTTTTTGAAAACGAATTCCACAGAAGTATATAAGCCTATTGAGGTCAATGCACTCGCATATTTATGGTAAAGGGCAAATGGTGAGCAGATCGGTCGAAGCCAGCAGCAACGATGGCCTTTTTCGCTACTCCTGTTCAATTTTGTCATGGGCGAAATACTGGAAGAGTGCACTCAGTGGTCTCCAAAATGTTTGTATTGATGGAGAAAAGCTGTGCGATCTAGAGCACGCTGACGACATCGTTTGCCTGTTCGAACGAGTGGCGGACGCGCAAAGCACACTTGATAGATAGACAAGTTCTGTTGCTTCATTTGTTATGTGTCAAGTGTTGCTGCAAGACTAGAAGCGAAACGATGTAATTCTTTCGCACATCAGGATAAGTGTGGTTTAAGAAACCTCAATGCTAGATTGGATACCCGGCAACAGTCGTTTGTGCGCAATGAGGCTCCAGAGTTCAGTTATTATTCAGAAGGGTAGCAATCCCAAAAGATACTTGTCCATCATTCCTGCGCCAACCAACTGCACTCGCGATTCAAAAAGGATGAATTTTAAGACAAAATTGCTGAACTTATTCGAATGAGCTGCAGCAATGATGTCATCGTTCTGGCAGGTGATTCAACGCGTAGATTAGAAAACTAAGCGCACCTGAAGCCCGTCTAGGAGGGGGGACCTCTTCCCGTCCAGCTAACAGATACGGTGATTGACGACCTCAGTTCTGCGCAAATAATGGGTTCTTTCCGGTACCAATTTTTGACGTAGCTCTCGTCGGACGGCAACATTATGTTCTAGTTCAACGGGTAAGGTGACCCAAAATGACAACATAGCTGTAAGCTACCGTTGGCGTTGCTCAGTACAGAATTGCAGATCCTACCACCTGTGTTGAATCCGATCAGGCACTGGATTTGATGAGCTTCACGCTTAGACTCATCGGTCATCGTTAAAAAACGCCTCCTCAGCCAGCTCATCATCATCTGCGCGATCCATCTGTCCGCGCACGTTACGAAGAGAAATATACACAGGAGCTAGGAGCGCGATGACGTGATGAAGTAAATCAACAAATTTGCTTATGGGGCCGAGCCGGAAGTTCGCTGAAGACACTGAATCTCTCAACAACACGGGAACCGATAGAGTCTGTGTTCATTTCACTGAATTCCGCTATATGATGATGCAAGACGGAAGCTGTGATTTCGATTACGCGCCGTGGCGGTATTGAGATGATAAAGCGAATAGACAGACAGCTTAAGACACGAACAGAAACAACAGATAAAAAGAGTCGTGGTGATACCATTGTTTCCCTGGTAAGTTATGTCTTCGTGCAACAATACGTACATACAACATTGCAGTTTCTGTCTGCTACAATGTGAACCAAAGTGGTGAATGACTTGCCTTGTGGGCCGGATGATGCGTAGCCCGAATCCATTGAGTGAACAGGCCGTGGATGAAGAAAACCTCCAGGAAAAACACTTGGTCTGGAGGGGACTGATTGGGGTGGTAAAGTCACGGCCCCCGTAGCGGGTGGTGGTTGCATGCTAGGTGAGCCAGATATTGGAGCAGTAGCACCTGAATAGTGACAGAGAATGTTTTTGAAGAGTGAATACTAACATAAGCACTATATATTTCGGTTAAAACCAAAAATAGGCAAGACAAATACATATATATACCACTTATTATGAGATATTCTATAAAGTGAGTCAAGTGACGTTTGTTGTGGTTAGTAGCATCTAGCCTATCTAGAAAACATCGAACCATAGTATTGATTCTGTCTTTGAAAGAGCTGGTCATCCAAGATTACTCAGTGTTGCAAATAGGGTTATTGCAACGAAAATACACCTCTTCGGTACAAACATATGAACGAACTGACGAGGTTGCCAGATACCTATGCCTGACGATTGGCGAGAAACACGAAACCGGTAGTGTAGTTTCAGGGAAATTTTGTCCAGCCATAGACTACTTATAATGGGATACATATATAACGTTGATACAACCAATAACTGTGCGCTTTCTTGCAATCACTTTGGTTTCTGTCTGTTAGCGACCCACTTGAATGTTGAAAGTAGTATCAATGTGACGAGAGCATTCAGGTAGACTGCATGAATATTGGGCAGATTTATGAGCATCACTGTTTAGGACACTCAACCATATTGTATTGAATTGACTATCCTTTGAACACTCCCTTCACGCACAACCAGTTCACCCAGTCAACCATACACCCGGAGGCACTAGCTAGACTCGTGTTTCGCTCTTATCACACGCAATCATCAGTAGAGCATCATGACGAAACTGCACCTTGGCGTGGTGTGGGATGGCTTGTGTGCCTCCATGACCCTTCGTGCTGCACAGGATGGCTTTTCACAGCCGTAGATCCAATCATGCCTGAAAGATCAAAGGGGTAGAGGCCAGATGAAGATCAGTCTCACAAATTCAGCTGCTTGGGCACCCCATGGCTTCCTTCTTCTATCCACACCCACCCCTGGAGAGGTCACTCTAGCAAAAAAAACACGGTGAGGGGCAATTCAACGGTTAAAAAAACCGCTAGATGTGTTGTCCAGTCCACGTTCGCGGGTGCCATTGGGTGCACGAGGCTAAGGGCCGATCCCGAAAAACGGACCTACAATAAAGGTACCAGCGAACAACACAATTAATCGAAATTCAAAGGCCTTGTGTGACAGGTCTCTAAAAGCTCCCAAACGGGTGCTCCATTCACGCTTTCGCGTTGGATTTACGCCCCACTGCCTTGCGGATCAGACTTTTGAGTCGAAGGCTTCGGTTGGGGTTTCCAAAGAAGGACCCCTACGTCGGTGTGGGCTGCCGCGAAGTACACCATGCCCTCAAGTCTTAGGTATCCATTTGAAAACCCAGCTTTCCCATCTGTCTAGTCCTTCTCAATCCCAAATAATCCCAGGTGCCTCCTGTTTACAAGACCCATCGGATATCACTTAGCGTTCAACTAAACAGGGCAATCATTCAGATGCTACCAGATTTCTAAAGCCAAAATCCCCATTTCACTTAGCCGGGTTCAATGTTTGCATACTCTCCCAGATTGGTCAACAAGCTAAAACCCTTGAAACCTTCTATTTGAATGTTAGCTGTGTCTCCAAAACACGCATATAAGACCCTACTTCAATCATCTTGCGTTCTCCAGATACAAATTCATCTTCACGCTTCACTCTCCGTGTGTCAGGCGATTCGACATCCGAAGCTAGCGGTGTTGCTGGTGTTGGAATTGCCCTGAGTATCCANAAACCAAAATCTCCATCACACTTAGCCGCATTTAATGTCCGCACACTCCATCAGATTGGTCAACAAGCCGCCTTAGCTAGAACCCTTGAAACCATCCATTTAGAGGTATGATGTGTTTCCGAAACACGCGTATAAGACCCTACTTCAATCATCTTGCGTTCTCCAGATCCAAATTCATCTTCACTCTCCGTGTGTCAGGCGATTCGACATCCGAAGCTAGCGGTGTTGCTGGTGTTGGAATTGCCCTGAGTATCCAGGCCGAGCATTCACTTCTCGATTGGGTCCCGGTTAGCAGCCCACTTTGCGCTGTACATCTGGATGGTTCAGTACGGATTAACACCTACAGATGCTTATTCGTCGTATCGGCATATGCAACAACTGACTGCAGTATACCAGAAGTGAAGAATGAATTCTACAAGGACCTCTCTCAACTGCTACGAAGTGCTCGGTCAACGGACATCGTGGTAATCGCTGGAGACTTCGATGCTCAAGTGGGATCCCTGGGCGAAGCAGAAAGGCTACCTAGTGATTCACATGCAATCCCAGCCAACAGGACTGACAACGGAGAACGCCTACTCCAAATTTGCGCTGACCACGGACTGTTTCTGTCAAGCGCGAACTTCTCGCACAAAAGACGCCACCGTCTTACATGGAGACCGCCAACCGCTTCACAGCGCTGGACTCAAATCGACCACAGTGCCATCAGCCACCGCTGGTGAGGATCCATTGAAGACTGCCGCTCCTACTGATCAACAACCGTGGACACGAACCACGCTCTGCTACGAGCGAGATTCTCTACGCCTAGTAAAAAAACGCAGAAAAGCCACCGAAAACGGATGGCCAAGATACAATGTCAGCAATGGTTGCAAATCGGCCTTCGAAGCGGAACTATCAGATCGTCTCTCAGCTCAACCATTAGCCGGAGGACTCAGTGGGCACTGGACGACAATCAAGGAAGTTATCTAAACGTCGATAAAAAAAACGATAAATTCTGGTGCACGATCAAATAAAAAACGGTGGATCTCACCGACCTCGGCTGCCTTACTGGACAGTCGCAAAGCCATTCCTTTGGATTTAAAATACGACAAAGCGCGCAAATCCCTTAAAAGCCAGCTCATCAAGAGTCTGAGGAATGACCGCGAGAAGTGGTGGGTAGGAAAGTGCAGACAGATGGAGAAGGCTGCAGCTTTCGGTAATAGTCGCAGTCTTTTTCGTTTAATAAGGAGGACAGGATCAAGGAAAGTAGGTGTGAGGTAATTAAAGAGTCTGGCGGCACATTGATTCAAATTCAGGAACGCCGTCTTGAACGTTCGGCTGAGCATTTTAAGGCACAGTTCAGTTGGTCTCCGTCAACACAAGACCTCCCCTTACCCGCTACAACTGCGCAAATGCTGTCGGTTGACATCAGTCCTCCATCAGAAATGGAGGTTTCCCGGGAAATAAGCAATCTCAAACGGCATAAGACTTCCGGTCTCAACGGTTTTTAGCGATGGAGGTCTAGTCTTGGTTTTGGAGTTACCAAAACTCTTGGGCTCAGTGTGGGAGACGGAACAGGTTCCAACTGAATGGTGTGAATTGGTCATCATACCGATTTACAAGAAAGGTGACAAGTCCTCTTGTGAAAACCACAGAGACATTAGTTAAATCAACATTGCTTCCAAACTTCTCGCCGGTATCATACTCCGTCGATTATCTGCCACTCGTGAAGAGTGCACAGGTGAGAACCAGACTGGTTTTAGACTGCGTCGAGGTTGTATCGACCACATCTTTACTCTTCGTCAAATCCTAGAACGCTTTTTTCGCAGACCCACCATTTCGATCACCCTCGACCTGAAAGCGGCTTTCGAATCAATCGGCCGCTCTAAACTCTGGCGCTGCCTCACTCTTAGGAGTGTCCCCGAGAAGTTTCAGTATCACAACCGCTTTATACTAATAGCCGAAGCCGAGTCCGAGCTTACGGCACTTGTTCACTCGAGTTCACCACGGAAAGTGGTGTCCGACAGGGTTGCCTTCTCTCTCCGTTTTTATTTAACCTCGTGATAGATTCAATTCTTGAAAAGGCCCTATCTTCGTACGTTTGCTTTCAATATTCCAGTCTTCTTTCTGCTCTTTTATCCAAATGGGGCACCAAAAGACAGAAACCAAAACCGGTGCACGGAAGTGCATGGTTAATGGTTGTAAAAGCTGAAGTGAAATTGAATCAGTAGAGCATATCCACCGTCCCGTCCAGGTTTTGAACTCCGAATCCATCGCATCGAAGGCGTGTGTTACCACTGTGCCAGGCAGCTCATACCGGGGTTGAATCGAATTATCAATTCCAGTTAGTGCAGCGGTCGTTTTCAGAGATAGTTTGGGCCAGATGGAAATGCAGGCAGAGACAGTTGACTATTTGTTAACTCCAATCGACAGCCTACCACCAAATCAGATCCTCCATGCAGGCTGACTTGCCACAAACCTACGAAGCTGGATTGCTAATTCGCATTTAACTCACAGTTACTTGTGGGTAGTGGCGTGGGACAATTTCGATTGGAGTAAACAGATAATCAACTGAATCTCCCTGTTGCTTTCGGGCCAAAACTAACTGACTATCACCTTAGACAACACCTGATCAAATACAAACTGAAAATTCGGTTCAACCCCGGTATGAGTTGGTTGGCACAGTGCTAACACACCTTCCATGCGATGGGTCCGGAGTTTAAATTCTGGAAATGATAGTGGATACGCTCTAATGACGAACNATGACGAACTCTAGGAAGAGCGAAAATCAAGTCTTTTGCTTTCGAGTGTTTGGTTGACTGGATGGGCTGAAGATTGTGCGTGAGGATGAAGTCTGAAGGATGATCAATTCAAAGCAATATTAACTGCTCCACACTCCTGCTCACAAGTAAGTGTGACTCGAAAGCGGACTCAATCACAGAATGGTATAGCCGAAGTAGGATTTCTTTTGCGTACTTCGGAGAGGTTTCAAGGGCTCTAGNNNNAGGCAACCGGATCGACGGTCTTATGAAGTATGTAGACATTAAATGCGGCTACGTAAAGAGATTGTAACATCAACAATCTAATAGCATTTGATCGGTTTACTAGTTAAATGCTGACTGACACCCCTTGAGCGGCAGAAACAGAAGACATCTCGTGTGATCAAGGAGTGAGAGACAAGGCTCGAAGAATCATCGAGATGATTCTATATTATATGTTGCAGGTTAGATACGTTTAGCATCAGCCAACTCCACACCGGGGTCGATTTTTAGTGTTCTTATAATGAGTAGTACATGAATGATTGAACCAAAGTTCCCAGAAGAACGCGACGAGTTTCGCGATCCTTTGCGCTCGTCATGTATGCGTTTTTCTAATTTTCTTATTGCACACCAGTAGACGGGAGCCCGTAGTCACGAAGACCTACTGTTTAGTGATGGTAACCGGCAACCTAAACCCCGGGACTTGAAGTGGCAAACAACATAAGGCCCCCACTAGGCCAGGCGTGGTATACAACCGGGTGACAGCAAGGCTCTCCCACCAAAGTATGTGCAAATGCAAGGATCGTGTTATCCTAGGTTATATTTCCACGAAAAAAATCAAGTAGTGTTAAAGTTCAGTTCAGTTGTCACAACCATTAACCATGCACTTTCGTGCGCTGTTTTTTAGTTGCCCATTTGGATAAAAGAGCGAAATGAAGTGTTAAAGTCAACTGAGTCGAAAAGGAAAACAAAACCCGGTGGGGGTGGATGGATATGGTGCAAGTTCAAGAACCGGTCTCAAGTGAATATTTGATCACCACAACAGCGACCTCGTCCAATCCAGTTTATCGTTTCCCAGATTTTTGCATCCTCCAACGGGACAATCAGAATACAACTTGAAACAAGGTGATTCTATCTGTTCCCTAACACAGAATCATTGATTTACCTCGGAGTGATACAAAGAAACGTGTTGACAAACACATCCTCCTAGGAATACGAGTAAGGAACCAGGGTACTCCAGTGTACTAATTCACACTAAAAACTGTCGCTTGATTAAGGGTTCAGCCTCTATCGTACATGCAGCTTTAGCAGTTAGTAGATGTGTTGAAGAACTTGCCAACTGAAATATCTGATCGCATAAAGCGATCAATCACGTGTGGAATGATCTTTCATCAGTGCGGTAAAATGTAGCCTGGAGCATCAATTTATTTGCGGTTCTGGGAAAGTGGTTTGTATCGGTGTACCCGTCCGTCCGGTCTTGGTGCTAATCTGACCAATTCCAAACCCGGAGGTTAGAGGAGACCCTCGCTTTGATATCACAACTATTACAGTGAGCCACATGACATGTGTAATCCATTTATATGACCGTTGCTCCAGGGAATTTCTTAACGAGTGTGTCTTCATTTTTGCGTTGGGTTATCACAAAATGATCATAGATGCATTGGATTGTAAAATATTCGCTTAATTGATAGCAGTCTGGTTCAACCAGTCGTTTATGGCGCACTTTATCTCCCTGAGTCTGGCTGCTACCTTTGGGAGTCCATTCAAGATGATAGCGTGCAAAACATTCAGTCCCACATCGTTGATGGTCTCCCATAGGCGCAACGGTCTAAATCAATTAGCGTGATCGCCCAAGAAAAAACAGCATCGTTGGCATAATCCATGTTAGGGATAAGGACCCATGTTGTTGCCTTGTACTAGTGGTTTCCATTTGAACGTTGCATTCTAGCTTCGGTTGCTGACTTTTGGTTCACCATCTGGGCGACTGATGGAGAAAAGACTGAGATAAATTAAAGTATCCTGATGAAAACTAGTTCCAACACCCAATCACATGCTAATTCAGAGTTCGGCAACAAATGTTGACAGTTAGTCCGTCCATACAGCTGTCTAATCTAGGAAAATTTATCTGTGATCTTGGTTAGTAGGAAGTGAGGGAAATTAATGCTGAACCGTTAGATCGTTAATATCCCCAAAATGACACAGGAAAGCAAGGAACGAAAGGCGGAATTTGTCAGTTAAACGGATACTCACCAGAAGCGGAAACGGAATTGGCACCTTGGAAATCAGATGAAGCACCATCCGTAACTGAAGTGTTGATCAGAAGTGGAGCTGGAGGTGGAGGTGGAGGCGGGGGTGGGGG